GTCATTAATGCTCTCCAAGTCATCTTTCAGACCATCCTTAATGTATGGTTTTTGGAGTATGCATAGATGTTGATTTAATATTTTGGTCAGTTAGATTTTTGTTTCGCTGTAGTATTGTATTTTATAATGTCAAAATAATTTTTTTAATATAAATTGATAGAATGCAGATTTATAATTTATCAATTTTACCAGATTGAAAACAATGGTCGAGTCCTAAGCAAACAGTCATGTTATAATCATGGACATAATTTAATATGATAAGAAATTGTCTTGAATATAAACTTTAAAAAAAGTCCAATGTATCGTACCTTTCAACATTTAGAAAATAGAAGAAAAAATTTTTAATACAGGCAATGGTACACCTGGCCATCACATGTATGTGTACAGTTAGAACTAAAAAGTGTTATTAAAGAAAGTGTATAAATGAATATTCTAGTATAGAGAATTTTGCATAAATGAAAAACTGATCGACTGTAAAGATTTTATTTAACGATATTTAGTTTTTGACATCGATACATTTGGATGGTGTATTATTAGGTCAGCTTTTCTAAAGTTTCTAACATTGTACAATAAGACTTTTAATTCGTATTTTTATGATGGCCAAGAATTATATTTAGGTTTGTTTACCCATTCTGATACATCATCACATTTCCAGTTACATTGCTTTGCTGGCAGATACTAAGAAACTATTTTCAGTGTTGGTGAATTTATCAGGTATATAAAATCATATAATATACTCACCAAGAATTCTTGTTTCATCGCTGTAAATATTCAAGCTGCATCAAGTTTCTGAATCGCAAACTGTTTCATCAGAGATGTTGCTATTGCATGTAGTGTCACTGGTGTATTGATTCATATCTTTTTAGCATTTTATTTGAAATGTTTTCTGTATATAGACAGTTTGTGTCTGCATCAAATTGTGCAATCATATGTGTATTAGGATTCTTATTTTTTGTTTTGATACAGTCATTATTTAAGCTTGAATATGTGCCAAAGGATGGAAAATAATGTATATTCCAAATGCCAGTAAACAGGTGGCAAATTTCATCCAAGGTAGTGTGTTAATCACTACTTAATCATATTTGCTTATGTCACTGAGGCTGTTCGATTCATTGGTTGACATCTACCTGCACCTTGTTTTCACTATATGGAATGTACAAATACATGTACAAATTGCAACAGCTTTACCATCTCTCATCTAATTTTCAGGAAATGTTCACTTTTAGTAACAATGCCTCTCCTGCTGTGCGGTAAAATGTTAATAGGAAATATGTTTTGTTGAAAAGGGTATGGTATTGAGTAGACTTAGTTAAATAAGTGATTTGCTAAAACCAACAAATGCACATAATCTAACTGTAATGCCCATAAAAACTACTTAATGATTCTTTTTCACATATGTGCTTGTAAACTTAATGAATGATGGTATGGTCAAATAAAAAATATGTGGTTCTGACCCCATTTCTAGTTATCCTGCCAACCCTACATATTTTTCTCTGAAAAAAGAATTGGAAAAAAAGATAGAAAATGCAGAAGAAAGGATTAACAAAGAATGTAACTATAATCAAAGTTAAATTTAGGATGCAAGTGTTGCATATTTTCTAGTTTATGCATCATGTAAATCTGTCAGAACCAACTCCCCCAAATTTGTTCTAATGTAACCAGAACCACATTTTTTATTTATACCTAATATGATCTGTTGCATTATTGTCTAAGAGAAGTTGTAATTGGTGTTTTAGTGTGTAATATATTCTTTGTATATATATGTTTCTGTTCTAGTTTGTGATAAAAAAAATGTCCTGTTGTAAAATATAATAATGCCCTGCATGATTTTAATAGTGTCTATTTTTGACAGTTATACATTTATTTTATAGATAAAGTTGTAAAAAAAGAAATATTTTGATATATGAAGCAAGATAAATTTAGTGGCAATATTGACTGAAGTGTAAACAGAATTAAACGGTTGTTTCCATCATTACTTTCATGCAATAGCTGACAAATATACCAAACGCATTGAGATTCCTATTGATGGAAGTACAACATTGATGTTGTTGTAAAGGATTTTTATGGTTGAAAGATTTGTTAATCTCAAGTGGAGTGAATCATGGAATGCTTCTTAATCCAACAGCGAAACAAACTTTTTAAGGAAATCGATTATGGTACTTTGAAGATAGAACATGCGGAAAAGGTAAAGAATAATTCTCTTTCACAGAAGGTGAGAAATATTCCATGTGGTTATGTCTATAATGGATACTAGGTGCTAATAAAGTCAGAACTTCTGAGCATCATTGTTGTTCTCCACCACCACCAGTCACTACACTACATGGGATATCGCAATCTTCATTCCATGGCACTCACTTAATAATGTGTCTAATGTCCATTCATGTTGCATGGAAGCAGAATAACCAATGGACTCAACTGACAGGATTTATTTCTTACAGTTACACAGCATAACCAACACTTTGGGTTCACTCTTGTTACATTAAATGGAAGTTTGGATCACAGATGGAATAAACCATGAAAGATTACTTATTATTCATAGAGTGTGACAAATTCTTTTAGCATTCAGAGTTGAGGTTAGATTCAAAAGATGTGAATTATGAATTATTTCTCCCAAAAAGAAAGAGACATTTTTGGTTTGAATAAGGATTTGCAGAAGGATCTCTGACTGAATTAAGGCAACATATATTTCTTTCTGGTGATCATGTGTATTAAGGAAAGAATTCTGTTTTATGGCACATATGGAACACTTGGGCAGGAGTTGAAAAGTTGATCTCAGCTTGAATGAACCATGAAATTTACTTTATTTTAATGCCATTATTTCTATATTATTCAGGATATCAAAAACAGACATGTGTTTTGTTTTGGGAATTTTTAATCAGGGAATAAATAATTGATTATTGATGATACCATGCTTCTAAATGTCTGCTTTCATGAAAATATTGACCATAAATTCATTTACTCCTTGATTGCTCAATAAGTTAAATTTCATGCACAAACTTGTCACTTTACTAATTTCATACAGTTGCAGAGTGTACATTGCCAACCGAATTTGTTCATTTGTGACCAACAGGGCATTATCACATTAGAATGGCTCATTTTTAAGATTTCTTTTGTGTTTATTTGTATGATTAGTAAATGGATTTGTTCCATATACAGGCAACAGTATATGTATATTTTGAGTTACTTTATAGTGGATATTGTTGAACTAACCCAAGTGCTAACTTGTCTGTGTTGTATATGTTAATTGTATATATTGGTTCAGATCTTATTTAAAAAATACATTTGATATTTCGGATCATGACAAAGTTCTTAATGGAATTTTGATAATTGTAATGTTTGATGTGAACTATAAACAGTTTTTCTCAAATTTAAATTTGAGACACATTGCTAAATCTGTAAATAGAAAATTATTTTAAAGTGTTTCTTTGTACCAAGCAAATGTTTATTACAAATGCATTATCCACTAATCACATAATAGTTTGTTGTTAATGCAGTATTTTGGAATTGTTTGGATCCAATAATTACAAATTGCAAGGCCACTATAGTAACTTTACTGTGTTTTCTGGAGTACAGATGACCAAGCCCATTTTAGTAATAGTGACTTCAGTATTTGCTCTTGTGCATTTTCATACCCAATCACAGAAATGAATGGACACGTAGCATTACTTTCTTCCATCCAGTCATCTGTATGTAATGTTAAGTTTAACATTAGGTCAGTGTGGTGGGGCAGTCATTGTACATAAATTAATTTCTAGTTAGGGCCGCCGTATGGCAGAGTGGTCTAAAGTGCTTGCCTTTAGCAACTACTGCCATTACACTTATGTTAGTGTGGGTTAGAGTTTTTGACAAAGTACTTGAGATAAAAGTTGTAATCATGCATTGTTGTGTGGATGGAGCAGAAAAAGATTTTTCATTGAGTAGTTATATTAAATTTAACTGCTTGTAACATTGAATGATGGATCAAAATACTGCAGTAACTATCTTCTCACTGTTAAATATGGGCATTATTGGTGCAGTAAAGGTATTGATCCAGCAGTTAAAAGATTAGGTCCTTACACAAATCTGCACATTATTTGGGAATGGCATAGACTGAATAAAGCATTCTCTTAGTGTTGTTTTTGGAAATGGCATAGACAGAATGAAGCATTCTCTAATTGTTGTGTTTGGAAATGGTATAGATTGTGTGAAGCATTCTCTAAGTATTGTGTTTATAAACAGGATATACTGATTTTACTATATCTGTCTAAGCAAAGAAAGAGGTCACAGCAAACTCCACTTGGCAACAATATTTTTTTAATTTGCTGTGTTAAAGCTTGTGCCCTAATGTATTGAGAATGCCTGCTCACTGGCATAATCAGAAAGTGCATCAAAATAATGCCATTTACCATTGATAAAGACTGCATTTTGCAGAACATTGTATTCAGGTTTTTTTTCTAAACCAGTACTGTTCTACATATCATTAAAAAAAATGCAGTTGAAATATAGATACCTTGTTGAATTTTTAACTGTCCCCACCCCTTAGCTGATCTAACATAAATGAAAATTTGTTGATTCTATTTATCAGTCCAGGGTCATACTATTTTATTTTCAATGACCAATCTACCAGTCTGCATCACCAGTAATCTCGTCACAAGCAAGTTTGGTAATGTACTATCCCAGCAGATTGTTTTCTTTTGATGCTTCTAACTTTGGATAAGGTCATGCTGATTGTGCTCTGCAAAAGCATTGTTATGAAATCTCCATGTTATTGCTATAGCACATTCATCCATTTTGAATTTGACATCATATAGATGAAGAATTATGCTGCAGTATTCAATATCTAGTCTTTTTCTTGTACATAGTTAGGAATCAGCCATTTTAGTATTTTATATAGTATATTTAAATGTACAGTTCTTTAAAATTAAGTATGTAAATACTTTTGGGACTGGTCTAACCTGTTTACTGATTATTTAATTTCTGTCTTTCATCTAAGGAATTTTATGACTTCCTTCATTCTTAAATGACCATTCTGGTGGCCTAGTGGTTAGAGCATCTCTCTCAGATGAGGGAGGTTGTGGGTTTGATCCCCGGCCTAGTCATACCAAAGACTTATAAAAATGGTACTAAACAGCTACCTCAATTGGCACTTAGCATAAGAGGTTAGTGTTAGGACTGGTCAGCCTGGTGCCAGGATAATATGACTGGGTGGGACATCATGCTACATGTCTGCGGCATGATGCCCCAGTGCAAGACATCACTATAAACTGCCACACTGCAGACATTGTAGTGATATGACTGAAAAATTGTTAAAGCTATGTTAAAAATCCAAATCACACACACAAAGCATTCTTCATGGTAGCTCATTACAACATGTTTGATGCAATGAAACTTGCATTTTCAGGTATACTTGGCATCAAAATTATACCTTCAGCCTTACTCATTGAAATTGTACCATTAGTCACTCCACATGCTGTTCTACTATGTACTAATAAAACTCCTTTTGTAGATTTTTAATGTATTATTTATGGATATTGATAATGTAAGAATCGCATGTTCTTTTGTTTGCATCAAAGCATTTGCCAGAAGACATGAATGAAAAAGACTTTGAGTGCTAAAGGCCCAATTCTTTTGCACTATGGTAAATGATTGTTTATCATGCCTTGGAGGTATACGGCATATCAATTAGTATTAAAGCTTACAGCTTCTAAATGGGATACATTTTGGTCACTGGCTTACACAGGTACAAAACTTTGTCTTGGTGTTTATTGTAATAAGTTAGCCAAGAAGATTACTGCTTACCATGTTATTCATTTAAAAAATACAAAATATATGAACACAGATACCAGATGTTTTATGCAGACAAGAAAGATGTATGATGCTCTTTGTATATTGGACAGGATCTCTTATACAGTATAGGATTGTCACCAGACATTAAGTATTTAGCAAGGAAAGTTAATTTTCAGCAAAATGTGGATATGACTTTGTTAGATCCCATTTGGATATGTAAGCTTTACTTATTTTGACCAGAATTTCTTTTTCTTTATAAAATTGTGAGTTTTTCTTTAATCGGTACTCGAAGGTTGTATGGTATCTTATCTACATCTGCTATTTTACAAGTGTATATTTTTGTATCACCTGCATTGAGATGTAGCAAGTTTTCCACCTGCATCTGCATTTGCATTTGTGTTAACATCAGCAGTGAGAAAATTTTGCATGCATGCCATGGTATTTTTTGAGATACTGTCATTAATATTTCACCTACTCAGCATAAATGTGAACATTGTAAATGTTATGTTTTTGAAAGTTACATATCAGCATCAGTAGCTTTAGGATAATATTTCTTTAGCTGTAAAGTTTTAATGTTGGTATGTAGGTACCACATATCTTTTAAATTTGTTGCATTAATTTCTGATGTTGGTACTGTATATACTCACAAGTTGAGTAAAACTACAAACAACAAAGATCCTGATCTGACATAGTATACTACATTTATAGATCAGGGTTGATATTGTTTATTCTACTGATAACTCTGAACAAACTGCATAGACCAAGATCAGCTGGGGTATTGTGCAACAGCAGATCTAGGACTGTGCAGTGTGCATTTGGACTTGTCTTATAAGTGAATATATAGGGTGTAATTTATTCCAGTATGTTTAAAGTTTATACCCCAATATGCTAGTTTTGTCTTGCCTTCTTAAGCAAAAAATGTTTATCACTGTTGTAAATAATGTCAGTTTTGTGTTAAAAGTTTTGAAAGTCACAGATCTTTGATTCGGAAGTATATCATTTATTTCTGCAAGACAAAATTATGCCACAGATATATGTTGGTGCAGTAATTTACAGAAAAATTACTTTTTGTTTACTAGCAATACCTCCACAAAATTAAACTCAATCTGTATCATCTGTGTGAAAGTTCAGTTTCAGGGGTTATACTGACAAGGATATGGGCCCAGGTGACACACCATGTTCCAGGTAACACTTGTTATCAATATTAGTGTTACCATTTGCCTTCTTAAATAGCTGAATCAAGAACAAATGTTCACCTTTTGCACCCCAGGGTAATAAACAAATTATAAAGTGAGAAAAAAAAATTCAAGTTAGATATTGTTTTAGTCAATAATATAAGAATGGAAAACCAGTTTGAAAAGCTCTCCAAGATTTAATTTCCTACATTAAAAATAAATATTGTATAAATATTCTATAATGTGACTATATTGCAATTCAGTTTTCACAATTTTGTATACTCTTTTGATATCTTGTTTAAAAGTTTATTCAGATATGTTTTTACAGTGTTGTAAATATTATGGTATGTAAAAATTTGACACATCCTTAATAATTTTACTTATGCCATTATATTATAAGGAAATTGATATAAAAACATATCATGCTTGAGCTTTAAGACAAGTGTAACACATAAAATTATCCATGATCATTTATCATTAAGTGTATCAATTTGGCATATTGGGCTCGTGGATGACCTTTTATCAGTCATTTTACTGTCTTTTGGTACAATTTATTATTACTATTCATTATAAACTGCCTTGTAATGTCATACACACATTTATTCCATGACCTAGTTAATATCGTGCTGATTAGAAATCTAATATGGCCACCAGATCTTGAAAATTGTAATATTGCTACACCTACTGAAAGGTTTTATCAGCTTGTTGTATTCACTCAAATACTTCTTGTGATGTCTGATGGTCTAATGAATATAGTACTTATATGACGTGCAACATGGTCACCATGGTGCCATCTTGAAAATCTTGTTATTGTTAGTCCTTGTGAATGGATGGTCATATCAGCATGTGATTTTCACTAGAGGCCTCTGGCAACCATCTTGGAAATCATGTTATTTCAACTTTAAATGAATAGAAAGTCATATTGACATAGAGTTTTAACTAAAAGTCATCTTATGATGTCTAGTTGATCTTAAATGAAAATGGTGCTGGTCTGATGTCCAAGATGACCACCTCAGCAGCCATGTTGTAAATCATGTTAGTACAACTCCTCATGAATAGAAAGGCATATCTTTAAAACATTGTTATCTCTGATCCTCTCCAAATGGGTCGTTAAATACAGATGTGTTTTTACCAGTATGCCTGATTGGTCCTAAATTAAATGTGTGCCAGTCATCCAGTATTGCTGCCATAATTACTATCTTAAAACCTTGTTAATATTCTCCCAGAATGTTTGGTCATTATGACATGGGTTTTCACCAAAAGACAATGATATTGACTTTGTCTTAAATGAAAATGGTGCCAAGATGACATCCAATACATTCACCACAGCAGCTAATTAAAAATTCTGTTATCACTGAAGAATATCAGATATGGTTTTAACACTCTGTAGTCGAAAAGAATACATGGACATATGTTATCTTCCTGAAAATTCTTTTTGCCCAGTAGAGCAATAGTCTGTTCAAGGGACTCTTGTTATTATTTGCTATAGTCTGTTGACCAATTGTTTTGCATTGTTCTTTTCTCTGTTTATTAACCATACAATAGGCTTCAGCCATATGATGAAGGTGTATGCAGTATATTTTGTAAAGAAATTTAATTTATATTTTTAATTGATTCCTGAACACAAAACTATCTTTGACCATTTATTTGTGTTTATATACCGGTGTACTGATTTTTATGAAGCTCATATTTGTGGGAAATGAGACATAACATTTTCATACCAGTTTCAGTGTCGGCACTTTAAGTGTATGGGGCTTATAAAATTAATGCTGCAATTTGTTTGCATTTCCCCTTTTCCTTTTTACTTGCTTATATTTCTTAAACCCTGTTGATGAATCTTTATAGAGTTGATGATTATTATGAAGCTAAGATGATTGATTATGTTAAATACTTGTTTATCAATCTGTTCTTGGGTTTATGGTCGCATGTTTTAGAATAGTACTTAAATTGTGTGCATGATATACAGACTCTAGCTTTGTTTTTTTTAATATTATTGGCAAAAAGAGAAAACTACTTGAGGTTAAAATAAACTGGTAAATAAAAACTGAATTTTAATTTTGTTCCCAAATCTGTTTTTACTGCAGAAAAGCAAGTCATTATTTTTGGTCCACAAATTTTTTTAAATTTTTTGTTGGCATAAATATTTCGGTGTGATTTTGCAGTGACTGCTAGAAGTGGACCATGTGTCCATTTGTATCACACTTGTAATTGGGAAATGTTCCTTTACTTAATATAAAGGAAGAAGGTGAAATATATTTTATATACATGATTTGATTTAAATATATGATATGTTTATAAACCCTTTGTGCATTCCATTCTAAAATAATAACACTTGTATAGCAGATTTGGTGTATCTTAGTTCTATTTAGCTGATTTCACTTATCTTCTTACATTATAAATGTACATTTGATTTGGACATGAGGCCAGATAAGCTTTTGGTATGACCATGTGTCATCTGTCAAGAAGTATCCTAGCATAGTGGCATTTTGATATTAGACAAATAATGCAGCTATGCCATCAAATCTAGATGAAGATACAAAACATACAAACCTTGAAACTATTGTTTTCATAATGTATGCAGTAAAAAACACAAGTAGAAATTTCTGCAGAAAGCATCAGTCTGACACAGATTGGCCAACTGATCATGCATTTGGGTTTTAGGAAGATGTCAGGTGAATGATAGTAGGATCACTTGGTCCTCTTGTTTTTTAGTTTAAATAATTTTGTTATGCAGCTGTACATGTAAATATATTAAGATTACAAATTAATTTGTTGAGGAAGCCCATTAAACTGTGAATATGATTGAAACATGTTTTCTTTTGATGATGGAAGAGGACAGGATTTGTTGCTCCTCTCCAACCAAGCATGGGAATATGTAAAAATATTGTCAGATTTTTGGATGAATATGACAATGTATAGTCGAATATTTGGGTTCATATGTTTGATTTTAATTGATATTAATTGTAATGTTGAGACTGATATATATACAGCTGTGATTTTCTCTGAAGTAAAATGTAGATTTATTTTAGTAGTGGATCTCCTGGGAAAATTCCACTTTTGGTCTAGCCAGTGTCAGAGTTGCATGTATCATTATTTTAATAAAAAAATGTATTAAAGATACATTATACCACCAGAAAG